TAATCCTTCCTTTCCTATCTAATACTGCGTGACCATTCAATTTCATTTGGTTTTCAAGTGGTTAGAGAATTAGGACACCGACGATCGTTGGTGGGGCAGAAGACAGTATATCGAACGACTTGTAACGAATAACACATAATGCTAATTTAGGTTTCCATATTTTAAATTTTAAATTATAACACACTAATGATGAGACAAACCTAGTCTCGAAACGTTTGTGAAAATTTGTGTTTAATAAATTAGTGCAAAAAAGAGTGTTGTTTGTTCATATTTCCAAATTAATATCTATTATCCACTCAAAATACATTTGTTATATATATATATATATATATATATATATATATATATATATCTTATAGATAAAATTCTTTTGTAATGATGTATGAAAGGATACTCCTTCTAAACGATTATTCGGATTTTGATAAATCGTTCTGAAGCTTTGAGATTATATAAATATAGTTAGATTGTAGAAATTAATGGAAAAAAATACAAAAAAACCCTTATCATAGTTTGACATTGAAAATATTTGAGACATTGTTTGGAAAAACAAATGAAAACTGTCATCTGCCAAAAATTTTAATTCACTTATGACCTAAGATAATATTAGAATATAATATATTTATGATTATGAATAAGAAAAATGTAATGTCTACATTATTATTGCCGAAAAGCAGCTGAGATGTGCCAAAAATTAAAATAATATAAGATACAGTATATGATTTGGCAGATGAACAGTCAGCGCATGCGTCTGACGGTTCTGGACTGTCAGAGCGTTTGCACATTAAACATACACTGTATAATTCAATTTGACAGATTATTCTTTTTTAACTAATGCAGTCGTGTTTTGCCTTATACAAAAAAAATTGCTTATTCAAAAAATTATTTAGAAGCCATTGTGTCAAAAATTCATATGTTTGGCATTAGATACGGAATATTTACTCAAACGTTTTGAGTATGAATTTTTTTTACTGTGCTCCAATTTGCGTGATATTTTGGAATGTCTTGAACCAAGTTAATTCTAAATGTAATACGATTAATTGTAATTGTGGTGGAAATGGCCCTCATAAAACTATTAGATTTAAATGAAAAAAAAAACAGACTCTTGAAAGTACTCATTTTAAAGCTTATTTTGAGCACTATCAAACCCCGTGGAATAATAATATATAAAATGCAATACCTCGCCGCTAGACGGCTTCAAATACAGCAATGAAATTTCAAACGAAATAAAAAAACAAATTTGCTTTTTCATACCTATCAATAAGGTTCTAGGGTTCTCTCATAAATATCAATAGGGTTCTAGGGTTTTGCAACAAATGCAAGTCTCTTCTTTTTACCGGTAGATATTTTGATCTGTTTTTAGCAATTATTTTTTGCATTCTTGGAGTAGAAGTTAAAAGCCAATCACCTTTGACAGGTTGTAATTTTTTTTCTTGGGCCTTTAATTCTCGCGAAATAGTACTATATCATTTTGTCCATTGTGTAAGTATGTCATTTTGTCCAAAATTGAACGAAAATAAATAATCAATCAAAATACTACCAAACACCTGATTATTGCAATAATATTGATTGAAATGACTATTACTGGCATAAATTAATTGATTTTAATGGAAAATGATTATGAATGCCAATGAATAGGTTCCCAAAAAACATATCAAAGCGCGAAATACGTTTGAACTAATTACTGCGACAAGACTGTGACAATGACGCTCAACACCTGACAGGATTATTATTATCAATAAGGCCACTGTGTCATTTTGTCCATTTATACCATTTTGTCTGTATTTTCCATATATTTATTTACTAATGTCCAGTGCAGGGCATTTAGCAAATTTGATCATTCACAATTCTCAGTCGTACAAAAAAAAAATTGTATTATGATAATAAGTTGGAAAAACAACTCAATAGTAAATTTTCCATTCAAGAGATAAGTTATAATAATCTCAAGATTATAAAACAAAACTATTCAAATTAATCAAGAATCAATGTTGACTTATATCAAGTGGCAATTTCCTTTTCAACCTCTATACTAGTTTTTTTGCTTGTAACATAATAAACATATTCAAATAAATATGAAAAGAAACCGATCGTGTCGCATGACTCATAAACATTTGCTGTAATTTTTACGGTATATTTATAAAAATTCCTTTCAAATACTGCCAAGTAGTCGACCGACATAAAAAAATCTATGAACCATTATATTATCACAAAAGAATAGCACGTGTTATTTCTTATGTCACTGTCATTTATATATTTTGAAAAGCAGTCCACACAGCACAACAATTGATTGTCAAGCACGTGGGAAACGCTGCTTGGCTAGAATATTAATTTTTTCTACATTGCGTTTTTATAAAACTAACAAGCTTTTAAATATTTTTGTATCTAACACCGGAGACCGCAGTTTATGTTAGAGCAAACTTTGAAAGTGACAGTTATACAAGAGTAATGAGGCCATACCGATTGGCGTAGAAGCGATTATATCATACAAGAAATGCAATAATTGCTTCGCAAAATGAATACTGCTTTTTTAACAAGTGGGGGAGCTAGGGAATTATTGTAACGGGGGTAAGTAGAATATTACAATATTATTTTTTTTTTGTCTTCATTGGTCTAGTGAAGCGTACTCCATAATATTGTCATAGCAACTGTCCCGCGGGCCGACGCAGTAAACAGAACTGTGCAGATGCGTCATTGTAAAATTGAACTATCATAAAGGGTATGGGCGTGTTTCCATACAGAATTGGCCCCACCGCGGTATTTAAATGATTTTGATGCCATTTTATAGGTATTTTCGAGAAAATCCGATATACAAAATTTCAAATCCGTAGCTCATCATTTGGCCGGGATATCATTGAAAATGTGTGAAAGTGACCCCTTTATTCAAAGTCGTTTTTTTTCGTATCTGTAGAATATATCGACAAACAAATAACGCCATTCTGTTCACATCGGTGTGTACTATATTATTAATAACAAATTATGTTGCATAATTATTTTTTAGTGCATGAAAAAGTGAAAATAGTTTTTTGTTTTGAATTTTCGGGTAGTGCGGTTGTTTGAACTAATTTTTAAATAGCATCATTAGAAAGGCTATTTAATTTTCTCTAACTGTCCAAAATTTGATTTTATTTCATGCGGTAAAACACAAGATTTATGAGAAAAATTACTTAATAATCAAGTTAATTTTCTAAAAAAATAAGCAAAGAATAAATTGTTAAAGGTAAAATTGTCTCAGGTAGATATTACAACTAGCCCCAAACACCGGGTAACAATTTCTAGAAAATGATTAATTGTGAATAATGAACAATAGTAATAGAAGTATTTTTACTTGATCCGGTAGAGGAATAGTTACAGTATCGAATCATTTTTATTTTGAAAAGGTATAATCAGTGGATCTCAAGATATATTAATTACAAAAAAAATTGTTACAACAAGCTCCTAGCGATTTTGTTAATGCAGTGATTGATAAATTTTAATTGCTATATTTTGAAAAATGTGTAATATAAGGCGCTCTCGATTGTTCAATGGTCAATTAGAGGAGCCAAAAGGAGATTCTGAAATGATCCTTAATAAACAATAGTTACGGAATTATTTTTACTTGATTCGGTAGAGGAATAGTTACAGTATCTAATCATTTTTATTTTGTAGTAATATAATCAATGGATCTCAAGATATATTAATTTTTTTAAAAATACTATCACAACAAGCTCCTAGGCCCCCTAGACGTAAAACCGCGATTTCGTTAGTGCGGTGATTCATAAATGCCAGTTGTCATGTTTTGAAAAATGTGTAATACAAGGCGTTCTCTGATGGTCAACTAGAGGAGCTAAAAGAAGACTTTGAAATGATCCTTAATAAACAAAAGTTATAAAATTATTTTTACTTGATTCGGTAGAAGAATAGTTGTAGTATCTATTCATTTATTTGAAAAAAAAAACTGTTACAACAAGCTCCCGCGATTTCGTTAGGGCGGTGATTCATAAATTACAATTGTTTTGAAAAGTATGCAATACAAGGCGCAAATATGCAATACATTTTAAAATTAAAAAAAAAAATTACTATTTTCGGAAATATACAAAGTTTTATACTTCAAATGTATTTATTTCATATTTCAAATGCGTTATTCTAATCGTATGGAATATTTCCTCAGATGGATTTATTCGGCACCTCTTGTTAATGTAAACATTCTCAAGTGTTTTGAGCGATAAGATCGTCACTGTATATTATTGAACGAATAAATATATAGTAATATTAATTTTGTCTTTGAAAATATTTAAAACAATTGTAATTAATATTTTTACGAATTTTTAATCTGCTACGGGATGTTCCAGCAATTTGCCTTAAGACACGATGCCATGCACCACAAGTTTTTACTTGATTCGGTAGATGTGTAGTTACAACATTTATTCATCTTTATTTGGTAGAAACATAATTACTGGATCTGAAGATATATTAATTTGAAAAAGATACTGTTACAACAAGCTCATAACCTCCCTCTATGTGAAACCGCAATTTCGTTAGTGCGGTGATTCATAAATCGCAATTGTTATGTTTTCAAAAATGTACAATACAAGAAGCTCTCGGTTGGTCAATTAGAAAAGCAGAAGATATATTAATTCAAAAATAACACAACAAAACTCCTCGCACCCCCCTGTGTAAAACCGCTATTTCGTTAGTGCGGTGATTCATTCATCACAATAGTTCTGAAAAATATTGGTCAATTAAAGGAGCTAAAATGAGATTTTGAAATGATCCTTACAATTGAAATAAAATATGTTGATCTGTCGAATAAATTGAGTTTATTATCAATAGAGAAGACAGCTGTCGCTGCGTAGAGTTTATAGAGTCGTGAACCCACACATGTACTGATGAGGCTATGAACAGGACATGCGCATGGCGTGATACAATACAATGAGCTGTCAGCCCCACAATCGTCGCAGTACGCAAAAACGTGCTCACATCCCGTTCGAAAAACATTCAATAAAATTTAGAAAAAAAATACTAACGTTTCTTCTGTTATCGCACCAGGCGTTGTCTTATCCGGCACGCACTTGTCACTAGTCGCGCACTGATCACTAATGGAAAATGAATCACTCGTGTGTTCCACAATTGAGCACTAGTAATAACTGATATATTAATTTGTAAAGGTTTTAGTATTATTGTTATTGTTATGTCTCCTTGTAGCAGGTCATCGCGTCTTTCGAACGGGTTTTCGGATGGCGTGCGCGCGTTTGCCTGCTCGCGACTGGACTGAACGCGCAGTCGAATGACGCTAAACACGAGTCCGCTACTCCGTTGCCGTTTGCGGCCGGGAACGATCTGACGGCTTCGGCGCTACTTGGGCCCGTGGGGGAACTTATTACGAACGACGCTTTTTATGCAAAGATTCTCAACACAGGCACAGGTATATGAAAGAGTATCGGCGAGAGCCAGGTGGCCTCGTACACTGATTTGTATGAATTTTTACTAGATTTTATCTTCATACGTTATGATTAAATTGGATGTTGAGCTGACTTATTCAGAAGTAACATATCTACGATATTTTTTCCTAATTATGTAAAATTACTCTTGTAGTCTTTACAAGAATGGCAGGATATACTCAAAAACCCGCATGAATAGAAAATATCAATAAGACTTAACAATATCTAACTTAAAACCAGCATGGGTATAAAGACAATTATTTTTGTTTTTCTTTTTGAAAATGTATGACTTTTTTTTAAATCCGTTAAAGCCCCCCTCCCCCTAAAAACCCCACATGATTAATGGACGCCCCCTCAATGAAATGTTCGAGGAGTATTAAATATTTTTATTTTTCATTATTCTTATTTTATAAAAAGGTAATAACCAAAACTTAATCAATCGGCTTTGATGAAGCAAAGTTAAAATTATTCATTTGAATTAAATAAGCTTTAGAACTTTAACTAGCTTTTTATGCAAAGATTCTCAACACAGGCACAGGTATATGAAAAAGTATCAGCGAGAGCCAGGTGGCCTCGTACACTGATTTGTATGAATTTTTACTAGATTTTATCTTCATACGTTATGATTAAATTGGATGTTGAGCTGACTTAAGCAGCAGTAACATATCTACGATTTTTTTTCTAATTATATGAAATTACTCTTGTAGCCTTTACATGAATGGCAGGATATACTACAGGAGACTTAACAACATCTAACTTGAAACCAGCATGGGTATAAAGACAATTATTTTTGTTTTTCTATTTGAAAATGTATGACTTTTTTTTAAATCCGTTAAAGTCCTCCTCCCCCTAAAAACCTCACATGATTAATGGACGCCCCCTCAATGAAATGTTCGAGGAGAATTAAATATTTTTATTTTATAAATAATGTATTTTTCATTATTCTTATTTTATAAATAGGTAATAACCAAAACTTAATCAATCGGATTTGATGAAGCAAAGTTAAAATTATTCATTTGAATTAAATAAGCTATAGAACTTTAACTAGCTTTTTATGCAAAGATTCTCAACACAGGCACAGGTATATGAAAAAGTATCAGCGAGAGCCAGGTGGCCTCGTACACTGATTTGTATGAATTTTTACTAGATTTTATCTTCATACGTTATGATTAAATTGGATGTTGAGCTGACTTATTCAGCAGTAACATATCTATGATATTTTTTTCTTGATTATATGAAATTACTTTTGTAGTCTTAACAAGAATGGCAGGATATACTTAAAACCCGCGTGAATGGAGAATACCAATAAGACTTAAAAATATGTAACTTAGCAGTATCTTGAAACCAGCATGGGTATAAAGACATTCGTTTTAATTGATTTCCAACTAGTGCTATATGACATTGAGCCTTAAGGCAAATTGCTGGAACTTTCCGCACCAAAAATTATTTTTTTCGAAAGAGATTCAAAATTTTCGTAAAACTGAAAAAAATGATTTTTAAGAAAAAACAATTAAAAATTGACCTTTTTGAGAAAAAATTATTTTTTTTATATTCCGAAATATTTTGAAAATTTTGAACAGAATAACGAAGCGCGTAAGCGCTGCGTCACAGTCTAACGGATGAACAATGTTACTGAACCCATAGAAATATTAACAAAATTTTTACCCATTATTAAAATCTTTATAAAATTATCATTTTTGACCGCAAAATGGCATTTTTTTCTCTTTTTTTTACTAGATCTCCAAAACCGCCGTTCCTAAAAATTTAATCTTCTTTTTTCTTCATTTTGTCAATGCAAATAAAATCTTTTCAGAATTATTGAAGTCGGACGCTCTGTTCTCTCAAAAACTGAATTACCATATTTGGCACTTTTTGCACCGAATCTTCAAAACGGCTTGATCTGCCTTGTCCGAAAACTAATCAGCACATCTCCTTATCAATAGGAATCGAATGTTTTTTGAATCATTCGAATCGGTTGAACTCTGTTTACTCACATCGTCACGAAAATTTGTATCCAAACACACACACGTGTGTGTTTAATGTTTTTTGAATCATTCATATCGAAAGGTCTGTTCTCTTAAAAACTTAATTTATATCTTCTGTACACTTTGCTCCGTATTTTCGGAACGACTGGGCATGCCAAAAACTAAGCATCACGTCTCTCCATCAATAGGAATCGAATGCTTTTTGAATCATTCAAATCGGTTTATCTGTACTACCAAAATCCGAAAATTGTTTCCACACATGTCATCTATTTTTCTAATCGTAAAATGTTTCGTTTCATTTTTTTGCGATTACTATTGACTACGATTATCCTGCAGGAAGTCCATAAATCCGAAGCATTGAATTCCAAAAATCCGACGAGTTTGAAAATGAAATATAGTTATGATCCTTTTTCAAATCTATTTAAAGTTTTGTATCATGATTTCTAGATTCAAAAATCTAAATCATTTAGTAACATTTTTAATGTAATTCTAATAACTTGTCCAATTACAACTGTAATTGTAAATATTGTATGAGTACATTTTTAGATATATATTTGGATAACTAAATATAACTTTTTGTTATTTTTGCGTATTATATGTAGTTGAAATTAACGATTTTAGAAGCATTTTGCAGACTTTTTTTCTGAATCCTAGTCCAAACACAGCTAGAGAGCAACAAAGCTTCTTTTGAGCTTTTGGTCAACATCATCGGAAAGAAATTGCTATCAAAATTATTTATATTGCAGACATAACAATAACTAAATTATCCCATAAGTAATTATTGTTAGGTTTTGTGATCATATTTTTTAACTTCCCGTAGGGTAAGTTATAGTAATCGCAAAAAAATCGAAAATGAAAATTTTTATATATCTTTACGTTTCAGAGGTTTCTGAACATTTTGGCATACCTTAGAAAAAATGGATGTATGTGTGTGTGTGTATGTATGTGCGGATACAAATTTTCGTCGACGATTTTGGGAACACGGATCAACCGATTTGAATAATTCAAAAAACATTCGATTTGTACTGATAAGGAGACGTGCTGATTAGTTTTTGGCGAAGTTAGGTCTAGCCGTTCCGAAGATACGGGGCAAAAAGTGCCGAAAACGGTAACTCAGTTTTTAAGAGAACGGAACGTCCGATTTGAATAATTCAAAAAACATTTTACTTGTATTGGCAAGATGAAGAGTTGATCAAATTTTCATGAAGGCAGGTCTAGCGGTTTCGGAGATCTAATGAAAAAAGTAAAAAAAAATGCCATTCGGCGGTTAAAAATGATGATTAGACATATGCACATCAAATTATCAGATATTGTATAGAAATTTTAACAATAAGTATAATTTTTTTTCACATTTCTATGGGTTCCGTACCAATGCGTTAGACGGAGGCGCGGCACTTGCGCTGTGACAATTCGTCTCTATGCAGTTCAAGCAGTACGATTGCTTTGAAAAAAGTTCAGAATTTCCAAAATATGTCAAAATGAAGAAAACATTTTTCTTTTCAAAAAAATAGTTTGTTTTCAAAAAAAAAATTTCTTTCAAAAAAAAATTTTTTTTTTCAAATAAAAATTTTTTTTTCAAAAAAAAGTAATTTTTTGTCATATTCCTAGTTTCTCAAAAATCTAATTATTTCGAAGTAAATTTTTTTCAAAAATGTTAATCGTTTTTAAAAAATAATAATTTTTGGTACGGGAAGTTCCAGCAATTTGCCTTAAGGCACGATGCCCTAATTGCCTTAAGACAGAATTTCACTTACAGCTAGTTTTTATTAAAAATTACGCAGTTATGCACATCATATTTTTATACAATAATAGTTCTTGACATTTTCCTGAGAGAATCATTCTTACATCATTGACGTCTCGAAATTATGTAAAAAAAACAAATGTTTAAGTTACATGTTAAATGTAAACCATAAAACGTAAATTGGCAATTAACCCGATATTTTTTTAATAATATAATAATTTTTCAAAGTGTTAAGAAATATAGACGAGTAGTACGGCTTAGTTTATTTTTTGTAGATACTCATATATTGCATCAATATCCGCAGAAGGTGATTTTTACTTTAGATTACATTTGAGAGCCATAACCTCAAGTGGAAACTTGATATCATACTGCTTGATATCAAACCTAGACTAATCTGTACTAGCTCACGATTATACTGATTATGTCACGAGTGGCTCTAAGAAGTCCAAATTTAATTAAACGATTATAGCTATCATCTGATAATTTATTATTTGCATACATTTTTAATATTTTTTAATTTATACGTAATCTATGAAAATATTAATAAACGTCACAAAGTTATATTGCATAAAAAATTAATAAAAGTTATCTATACGCCCGTTTGCCAATTATTACTATGTTATCTTATCGTCCTAATATATAAAAATAAATTAGTTATTTTGCTTACATGGTTGATTTTATGATACATCAGTTAATGTTATTAAATATTTTCAAATATAATATACAATATAACTATTTCAACATAATTTACAATATATTTAATAAATATATTATAAAAATGATGAGTGTTGTTATTTTTTATATATATTATTATTAGTGTGTTTTTTAAAGGCATTTTAATCGCTGAGCTTATGAGTCCTGGGAGCTGTTGTGATAATACTTCTTAAAATAGTTTTATATCTATTATTAAAATTTTATTTCTCTAATACTGATGATTTTTTTCTATTTGATGCTGCAATTCCGGTAACAAGCTATTTTTACTTGTAACTTTACTTGTTTTTGATATTGATGGTTGTAAGGTCCTCTTACCCGCGGACCTTTAAGCCCCGCTCTACCCTAATACTTTTATTCACATCATTCTGTATACTAATATTGTAGACCGTTG